AGAGAAACCCCGATAAAAAAAAAGCCTAAAAACATGCTAAAAATACCCCCAAAACCCAAACCTCTGCTTGGAGAGTAATGCTTAGGTCACAATTCAAGAAAGGGCCCGCTCGGCGCGTGTTCGGCGTGTTTTTTGGCACTACCGAACGGGACCTCGACGGAGACCGGCGGGCTTCCCGACGGCTGCCGGCCTATTTTGGCCCGCGCGGTCGCCGAATCGATTTTAACTCAGAGTTAAAAACACTTCGGGCCCCGTTCGGCGAAATACGCCGAAGCAACGCCGTAACCTCACTGCCCGGGACCCGTCGGGCGGCCGAACAGGCACCTGCCTAAGATTATGACGTCACATGTGCTGATCAGCGCATCAGATGGTCAGGAAAAGGGGGTTATAGTGGGCATATAGACTCCTACCTCAGACTATGTCGCACAGTTCACCACGTGTGTGTTACATCGTGTACTTGTGTGTGTTACACCTTGTATTTGTGTGTCAGAATGTCGAAGGGCAAGGGAAAACAGCCGGCACGGCTCTCTTGCCAACTTCATAAAACAGATCATAACAGGAATAGAATGTGTCTGACATTATCTCTTGTTATTGGCATTTATTTTCAGTCCAAATTTCAACAGAATTAACGATATTCAGTGGTTTTATTGCTCAATAGCAAGGAGCTGCCACGGCACACTTCCTGCGTCACTGTTAAAGTACTTTCGAAAGTAGGCCCTTGGTTACTTTTGCGACGCACCAGTTCTGCCTGCCTCTCTTCTTCAGCTACCAATGCCAGAAGACCTACATGTAGGTTGTCACCAATCTCAATCTCAGACGGGCTTGTAAGTTGTTTGCAGGTTGCACTGAACGCTGCATCGCCAACTTCAGTGTACTCTTTACTTGAAGTGAACGGTAGCAGGCAGTGCAGCGCTTATATATGTACCTGCTCAAAAACACGAGAGGAGCCCGTCGGGATCCCGCCAGGATCCCGCCAGGGACCTGACAGCTGCCCGGCCGAACTGTAAGAGCCGGTCGGCACCCTACCACACGCCGCACGGGTCAAGACGGGCGACTGACCGGGCACCGGACGGGTCCCTGACAGAAACCGGCCGCAAAAGTTTATGAATATTAATGAGAGCCGCCGGCCTGAGCACAAGCAGGCCCCGACAGGGAGCCGTAAAGGAACATTTAATTGTGACCCTGACAGTACGGCGCACGCTCGGCGTCATGACGCCGGCCGGCGTCTACGCCGAGGACATGCCGAACGGGCGCCGTTTCAAATGTGACCTAAGCATAAGAGAGAGAACGCCCGCAGGGCTGGTAGCACTAGTACGTCGGCAGAACGTACTGCGCCTGCGTGAAACCCGGATTTTCACGGTTTTCATACAACATTTTCCTGTTCCAGACTCAATTTACGAAAACAAGAGTTCCGAGATCTCATACCTCCATGAAATATGGGCTTAACATGTAAATGTAAATTTCTTAAATAAATGTAGTAAATAAATGTTTGACGTAGGCGCAGCGCGTATCACCGACGTGTGGGTACCAATGATTGATGCTGGCATGTCACTTGATAGGATATACGGCATAATAAAGTGACAACCAGTGGGAGCCTCTGATCGCTTCAAAATCTGCTTGGCTGGATGAAATGTCTATTAAGTTCAGCTAAAGACATTGAAACTGTGATAAACTGGGGTTTTCTCAAAGTGAATCGATGGATAAATCGTACATATCACCAAATGTCACGTGGACGTTTCTTTCATTACAAGAGTCCATTCCATGGACGTCGATTGGCCATCAGAAGGATAACGATTGAGACACAACGTTTACCGGTTTCGAACTTGTATTTAAAAGTCTCCATCATAATGGCAAACCTTAGAAATAGCCAATCAGCATACAGGATTTTGTACTGCACTGACCAATGGGCCAATCAGAGCTTAGAATAGATGCTGACTCAGTAAACAAAATTTAGGCATGTCAGGGCGCTCTGAGCGTTGTCTTTTGTTCTTGTTGTTATGTCCCCGCCGATGGGGCACATGGGGATTGTCCTTGTGGGTCAATCAGGGGACACAGTTGAGGTTGCAGGGAAGGTTTTTCCTACAATTCCCTTCTCTGTAAACTCCGAAGAGAACTAAGTTTCCTGTCTATTCACAAACTGGACACACTAGTCGTGTGCACGCCACGGTCACTTGCAGAAACATGGATAAACAAGAGTGTGGAGCAGAGAACTTGGGATTGGCACAACGTCCAATTTACAGTGTTGCGAGGCAAATGAAAAAAAAAGAGTTTACATTATCATTTAGACGTTACCATTACATGACAGGGTTTCCTCTATTATTATTAAACCTACTTCTGATTATAAAGAACTTTTTGACATAGACTCTTTTATGTAGAGTAGTACATGAAGTCAGTTTTCAAAAATCAGCGGTAAATTTAGGGGGGGAAGCATTATTCATAAATACATGTATTACTCTTTAGTTGACCCTCTTTTTCTATACTTGGTACAACTCTACAAAAATCAGACAGTTTGGCCGCTCGACACTCCTTGGTCACGTTGCTTTTGCTGCTAACATAAAAATGGATGAAGGACCGTAATTCCACCCCTAGCAGTATTGTTTGGGGCAACCGCAGAGATGGAATAGTGGCGGAGAAACAGTTGAAGAAATTCAACAGTGAATTCAGTGGTAAATTCAGCGGCAAATTCAGTTCGTACTTGTAACTTTCAGCTTTAGATAATTGGTTCGTTGTGATAAGGATTCACTTCAATGCAAGATCAAACGATTTACAGGATTTGTCTTCCTTATGTGTCAGTTTGAAATATGCATATATAATAATGTCTATATGATAATAACGTTAATGACCCGCTTTCCGTGTATACGGTGTCATAATTCATGGTCAGTTCCTATAACCACCTCATAAAAAACCTCGTCCACTTGATCCTGTTACCGCCCAGTATTGTAAAGTAGGCTGCAGTTCACATGACCCTCGCAAGGCGCCATAAAAAAGAGGTTTTTACGGGCCGACAAACTTGAGCTGATTTTCACATATTTTGTGGTTGTACCTCTGTAACTTGCTGGTACCTGTACGTCTCACTCTAGGTTCCTTAAATATATAGAAATCCCCATAGGGCGAAAACTGTGTTCTGCGTGTCCAGCCAAGTAAAAAATAATTGGTATGTTGATAATTACTGGAGATTTTCAGCTTAGAACCAAGGTGTATAGAACACACGCTGTCATGGGTCTCTATCCAGTTTTGTTCAATAATGCCTGTCAGCCATGGTAGCAACACTGGGCTGCCACGTTTACATGAGTTTCAAACAACAAAGTACGGAACGTCTGTGCACCACCCCGGGCAGAAAACTCGTCCCTGAACACACGTTTGCCCCGTGGCGTTGGGTGGATCCACCGGACTTACAACTTGCATTGTGTCATTAGTATGTGTGTGTGTGTGTGTGGTGATTAGATTCCTGTGCTAAACAAATCTCTTGTTTTGTGGAAAGAATCCTGTTGTCTCTCTCTCTGACCTCAGAAACATGAGTGTGTCCGGCTCAAGTGTGGAGGAGGGAGAAGGAGAAGGAGATGTGTTTGAGTGGGATGAGACAGGAGGACTGGCCGAGACAGGTAAGTGGCCTGAACGAAATCCCTGCCTGGTATAGTAAAGGTCAGATGTCAAAATCACCAATTGCTAAAAGACGTCTAAAAGCCTTGATATACGATCCTATCACAAATTTCGATTAAGCGGACTTGTGGTATGTTTACTACTAATGACCGTCAGTGTCATTTGCTGGGAACGAGTAAGGCCATATCCTGTAGGTTGTGTTCTGCTGTGTTAGGTCTCGAAAGGTTGCCATCATCCAAGGACGTCCCAAAACCTGTCACACCTGAGAATTAGAGTCAACAGAACATACGATATATTTGAGGAAGAAATCATATATTTTAGAGATCTCGTAGCCTCCTTTTCAGGCGTTCCCGGATCGGCCGTTTCTTTTGTTGGGGGGAGGGGGGATTTTCTGATCAAACGTAGATCGCACGCAATAGAAGCTCCGGCTACCACCATATATATATTTTCTATTGCTTCTATTGCGTGCGATCTACGTTTGATCAGAAAATCCCCCCTCCCCACAAAAGAAACGACCGATCCGGGAACGCCTGAAAAGGAGGCTAGAGATCTTGGAAAATACAGTTGGGAGGCGCCTTTGATGTGATAGTTGGGCGAGGATAGCCTGGGTGCCATGCTCAGTAGTATTCGCCCGATCCCTAATGTCGCTTGCTACCAGTGGTAAGCTAGCGACATTATAATGAATGAATGAGGACCTTTATTGTACGCAAATACCCACTGGGTACAGTACAGGTCACAGGAAAGACGTCACAGTTTGCAATGAATATATACAATGTACAAGCTAGTGCTAATTCTATGTACTATGGACATGTAGTCAAATAATTACGATAATTTGGCTTCTTCTCGCTTCTTAGTAACGATGTAGATATAAGCACAGATGTGTTTTATAATCGAAGGTTTGTCTAAAGCCATTAGAAATATGAACTTATCTTTGTTGCTAAGATGTATGAAATGGGGAAACATACATTTGCAATAGTTTATAAAGCTCATCTCTCTCTTCGTTGTATAAACTACATTCTAATACAAAGTGTTCCTCATCCTCTATCCTATTTAGATTACAATGCCTACATATTCGTTGTTCCAGGGGAGTATAATTATAGAGCGGGTGAATACTACGGGGATGGCACCCAGGCTAGGGCGAGGAATCATATCATAAAAAACAGTTCCAAAATTTCATACTTTCACCAAATAACCGCCCTGTCAGTACTTAACACCACGGAAAAAACTGTAGTGGTGAAACCAAACTATTTGCCTTCATCAGAAGGCTATGAAGTTGGTTTGGGAGTGTTTGTCGTTTTTCTTCTTAGCAGAATAACTCGAGAATGTGTTAAAGGATGTTCATAATTTTTGGTAGGCAAGTTACCGTTGAGGAGACCAAGGTCAAGTCCTCGTGGGGGTCCCTACGTCACGGCAGTGGACCTTTGTGTTTGTTTGTTCGTTTGTTTGTTTGTTTGTGCCTATCCACCCTCCCAGACCTACTGCAAATCACAGACGGCTTGCTCACGACTAACCCCGAACCAAGGCCTGGAGAACGATGGAGTGATCGGGAGGCCGTGGTCGAATATATAGAGAGAATGCGACGAAACAACATGGCAATACTTGTGAAGATACTGAATTTGTGTAACTTTGTTTTCATTTCATGGTCTCAAAACAGATCCACTGCTGGCGTCGGAATCTTCCCACGGCCCGCCAACGCCGACAGAAGATCGTCGCCTCCGTCTGAACATCAGCGGGATGATCTTCGAAACCTGGGAGAGCACTCTGAACAGATACCCCAACACCCTCCTCGGGGACCATGCACGCAGGGAAAAGTTTTACTGTCCGGACGGAGACGAATATTTCTTCGACCGTCACCGCCCCAGTTTCGAAGGCATTTTCCGTTTCTACCAGAGGGGACATAAAGCTACAGCAGACTACGAGAATAAGATGGAGCGCCCCCCGAACGTCCCGGTGGAGATTTTCTACGCAGAGATGAAGTTTTTCGACATCGATGAAGCCATTATCAAACAGTGCCTTGAGGATGAGTGGTACAGCTTGGAGGAAGATCCTTACGCTGATCTACCTACCATAGAACCACAACGATCCATCTGGCTACTCTTTGATTACCCAGAGAGTTCGGTAGCCGCTAAAGCCATCGCTGTGATTTCTGTGAGTATCATATTTGTCTCCATAGCGGTGTTCTGTGTGGGAACTATTCCTGGATTTGACGCTAACCCTCTAGATTCTGCAATCTCCTCAAACAACACCATACTGGACACGCTGAACCGTGCATATGAAGACCAACTCTTCTGTGTGGAGACCGTCTGCATCATCTGGTTCTGCTTCGAACTGATCATTCGATTCTACGCAAGTCCCAACAAATGCAGCTTCATAAAAGACGTCATGAACATATTTGACATTGTTGCCATCGTTCCCTTCTTTGTTGACTTCTTTATGATAGTTGGTGGTTTTCAGCTTCAGAAAGGTTCCACTGCCTCCGTCTTCGTACGTGTGCTTCGACTCTTTCGCATCTTTCGGATCCTCAAACTCTCACGGCATGTAAAGGGCTGCAGGTACTTGGGAGGTCTCTTATTGAAAGCGTTGGATCTTTCATTCTTCTAATTTTTCTTCCTTTGTGTCGCAATGACCCTGTTTGGAAGCATTTTATACTTCGCCGAACCAAATGACACCAACGGCTGGAACAGCATTCCGGGCACATTTTGGTATATCATAGTCACTATGACAACAGTAGGTTACGGCGATGTCTATCCGACAAGTTTAGCTGGGAAGCTTATAGGGGGAGTGACAGTTGTCTGCGGCATTATGACACTTTCCCTCCCCAGTCCCGTCATCGTCACAAACTTTAACAAGGCCTGGGAGATGTCCAAAAACGTCATCGCGACTCAAAACAAGGACTCAAAAATAGACAAGAAAAATGAAAAACATCACCCAGAGCTCTTGGAGTACACATGGGTTGGTGACGGCGACATCGATAAGGCAAAAGGGAGGCTGTGGGTGACTCCAAGGCACTACATGCTGTATGGAGAACCGGAAAACAAGAAGGATGATCCGAAAAAGACAATATCTTCACTACAGAAATATCTGTACATGGGGACCCCAGAGGGGGAGGGAGAATTTTACGTGTGACCTTAATGATAAATAAACACTTAATTCAGTTTTGGCTAAATAAAAAGCGACTCTACAACAACACACACGAAATTATATTCGTATTTGCAAGGTCAACGCACATTAATGGGATATTTCTCAGTTCCGTTCAACACGTGCGATTCACAAATGGAGCATAGAGAACTGTAACTATAACTTTCAAAGACCGTACATATGGGTTGTGCGCAATATCTGGTTCTACCTGGATGTCTAAATTTCATCGACGTAACCGTTTTATGACTCTGTTACAACTTGTCAAGTCAAACTTCATTGCACAACAATTGTGACAGGTACGATGTGTGGCAAGGTCTTCAGAGTTACTACATATCTAGCTTATATCTACTCTAACGTTTACAGTAATGCTTGTAAGTTCTAGTTATCAAAACTATCACTATACCATTTCATAAAGCTGATGTAATATATATATGGAACATGGCTACCATCATGGTAACATACAGGAGTTCTACTTAACTACAGACTAGACATTAGGCTATTTTAAGTAACTACTATAGTATAAATGGTATGATACATGAACTATACACTACAGCGTACATTAGTTGGTAGAGTCGGATATAACATAATTTACTTAACTAAAGCGTTGGATATATATAGAATGCTGCCATAGATAGCAAGTAATGTACAATGTACGTGTACTAAGTGGGTGTTACAAGGTCGGTTCATCGCATAACAGAAGTTGGTGCATGTCTGTATTACGTGTAAATATGAATTGATTAGAAATCTTATCTTATCTTACACTTGAATCATTCTTATTATCCTCTTGTTATCTTCTGAAAGCATTTCAAATACAGATAATATGTCATATTATTGTTTGTTGGTGAGAAACAACTGTTGTTGGCAATTGGGTCGATAGCATTAGCAAAAACATATTATATATAAAAATTTCCTTTATGTTTCCGTCTTATAAACTGATAATCCACACAGAACTGATAATCCGTGGTTTGGTTTCGTGGAGGGCTAATTAATCTCTCGTGAAATACACACCGGTAAACCTATGTGAGGCGGGCGGGACAGAGCTCTTACGGCCTCGACCACGATCAGACTGGATACCAGGCTACGAACATCGTGTTGGGGGAAACCAAATCCCCAAGCATACTGTCTCTTATTAGCGTAACTCTCCTACCGGGACGGCCTGTTGCACTGGGCGGGGGAAGCTATTAGAGCCCCCGAAGGCACAACCTGCCCGAACACCCCAATACCCCCAATCACGTAAGACTAGATACCAGGCTAAGGAAAATGCGGCCTGACTCGCTCGCTGGCCTCGGACACCGACTCGGATAGTCGGCGCATCGACAGGGCACGACGATCGCTAAGAAAACAGGAGGAAACCAGCAGGGTGTGTGGTCCGAGGTCAGTGAAGAAGAAAAGCCGCCCAAGGTGAAGTATCTGCGCGAGGACGAGGATTTGGCGCAATGTGTCGACAAGACCTTGGACGACATCTTTGGAAAACCGCATGGCCCGTCTCGACAAAGGGTCTCCTCAACACGTCGACATTCTAGCACTTCCAGGTCAAGCTCGCCGGAACTCGCCCGCGCCCCTCCCTCGTCGGAAGACGTGAAAAAGTCTCGCTGCACCAGTACCAGAAGTGACGGAAAAGTGCCAAGTCGTGGCGTCGTCTCAGGCGGTACCTTGTCGACGATTCAGACTGCACGTCGGATTCATCTTCCTTCACCTTCCCCAATTTTCGCCTGATTTTGGATCGCATCAGATTTAGCGTCTGCGGATGATGTCATCCATAAAATTTACATGCTGTGGCCTTATGATGCGTACTGCTCTCCGTTCAACCTTCTCGATAAGAGTGCCAGACAGCGTACTCGAGAACTGGGCGTATTTAGGACACAGACTGTGACGAGGTCTTCTAAGAAGACGTGAATTCAAAGTGTTTTAGTTTACTGAGAAGGAACAAGCGCTGGCTGGATTTACAGCAAATTGAGTCGACGTGAGAGTTCCATCGCAAGTTGGCCCGGAGAAACGCCCAAGATCTTCATTCCCTGCACCTGTTACAGTTCAATGCCATTTACTGAGAGGGGAGGAGTTATATACGGTACCTTGCTGAAGAGGATGTGTAAGACTTTACATTTTGCGGGATGGAGCTTCATGTGAATATTTATCAGTTCCATCCAGAGCTGATCATTTATATGGAACTTTATATGGAATTAATACACAACTGATGATTTATTCAGAACTGATAAGTCAGACGAAACTGATATTTCTATACAGGGCTGATAATCCATACAGAACTGATCATTCATACAAAGCTGATAATTCATACATAATTGATATTCATACGGAACTGACATTTCATACCGAACTTATATTTATACATAACTGACAATCCATACCGAACTGATAATTTATACAGAACTAATAATTCATACAGAACTGATTATTTACACAGAACTGATAAATTCATAAGGAATTGATAATTAATACAGAATCGATCATTCATGTGGAACTGGAAATTCATACAGAACTGATAATTTATAGAGAACTGATAATTCATACAGATCCGATAATTCATAAAGAACTTATACAGGCCTTATGATTCATACAGAAATGACTATTCATGCAGAACTGATGATGATTCATAGAGAACTGATAATTCATACAAAACTGATAATTTATACAGGACTGATGAGTCAGCATGCTGCCCCGACGGCTGACTAAGCTATGGGAGAGAGAGAGAGAGAGTGAGTGAGTGAGTGAGTGAGTGAGTGAGTGAGTGAGTGAGAGAGTGAGTGAGTGAGTGAGTGAGTGAGAGTGAGTGAGTGATGAGTCTTTCACAACATAGCCAATAGTATTCAAAATCCGTGCTTTTCACGAACTATCGCAGAGAACATAAATACATAAGGACATCCTCACTAAACAACGCTTGCGGCGAGGTATACAAAGGTTATACATGTAGGTGTGGCACATCGTTCATTGAACCTGCAAAGCTGCTGAACTACGTCAAAAGGCAATTATACCGGCTGCACAGCTACAGAGACTGATCGTATTATTGTGTCAGGTCAATTTACAGCGTCCATTTTGTAATACAAAGCGCTACTTTACTAAGCAACGAACAACATTTTGATCATCATTTGAAAGACTTTAAACTTTACTTTAGTTTTTAGTTTAGTTTTGACTTCCTTTAGAATTGTGAACGAAGCTTGGTCCAAACTTTCCGGTGGTTTAAAATCTTTAACCCTTTGAGATAACAACTTGAGGAGACAGGTTCTTCCACTTTTGTCAATCCAAATGGCTATTATTACATGCCACTGTTTGGGTAAAGATCAATATTCACTTGCAAGAACAGTCCAGCTGCAGTGTCACACAGACAACACCTGTGGCATATACCAATTGTTCCAGGGGTGTTGGAAACAACGAGATCCTAGCGAGCTCACATGGATGGTATCATAACAACTAACCCGACTGGAGCTTCCCACCGTGTTACAAAGAAACCAAAGGTCAATTGTGAGCACGGTCGTGGTCTCTGTAATACTGTCAGGGACGGATCGGTATTTGTCGTGGGCGGGTCATTTTTGGCAGCAGCTGACATTAGGGAACAATCTATACGTTGTTCCGGTAAAAAAAAACTATAATCACCCACCAGTTGGGGACCAGACCAGTGTCGAGTTTTCTTTCCCCTGTTCCAGGCTCTTCCAGGCGACTTGTGGATGGAGTTTGTTCTTCTTTCATGAACCCTCCCTGGGTGCCGCCGAACACAGCGGACGGTAATTTGTATCCCAGAAACGCTCACATTTGTTGACAGCCGTGATGTACTAGTACATGGCCCCGCGGAACATGGAGCGGCCACGACGTCCCCCTGACTTCGAGCACGATGATACCAGGTTGAATGAACAGGGAGACTCAGCTGACGATACAGGTGAAGCTAACTACATACTAGTAGATATTCCCGCGGAATCGGGGAGTCCTCAGGGGTCACAGACTCATAGGGTTCTTAATATTGACAGTTCACATTGATTTGAGTAAACGCGTCACATAATTATGACAACTTACCAAATTAAAATCGTTTTTTTAACGAAACAGTTCTCAGAGAATACATTAAGTTAAGACATGCTACGACATGCTTCATTAGACATTAAGAATGTAGATATTCTGGTCTTATAGCTATTGTCAAGGAAGGTGTAAGATTCTAACAATGATGGCAAGGCTTCGTTACTGTGGTTTTTGTACACGCAAACATCCGGGGCTTTTCCCCACTATTTCGGAGAGCATCAGCCGCATGAGTCAACTAGAGTGCCACGATCTTATACCTTCGCCAAATGGTGTTACCCTTAGGCCTTGACGAATGTTGATTCGCATTAATCATGCAAATTATGCATTCATTTGCATAAACACTACCTGCCAATGTCCTTCACAATTACACATGCCACACGTTTGAATAATCATATCATAGAAGGTAGCAGATTTATAGCATTTCCTCATTAATTATGCTAATTAGCTGCTGATTTGCAAAACTATCACTTTCATAGGTCAAGCATTCTTTAAGTTACCCACATACCAAAAATCATAATGATCCGTCAATCGGTTCTTGAGTTATCCTCCTTCGAATATTTTTAACGAATGCTTCTGCAGTTCCAGAACAAGCAGCTAGGGGTCCAAACCATGTCACTTCTTCCCCAGCCAAAGAGCTACCTACCATCCAACTTTAGTGACCCTACCATGTCCAGATCACGAGATATGAAACCCGGAAGTTCAGCTGCAATACATTGACAAGCCGCCAGGGGGTCCAAAATCTAATCAGTTCCAGGTTTCATCAAGACCTACCCACCTACCAAATAAAAAGACAATCCATCTTAGCCTTCTTGAGTTATCGTGTTCAAACACACACACACACACACACACACACACACACACACACACACACACACAGACAGACACACGAACGCCAACGAAAACATAACCTTCTTGGCGAAGGTAACAATTTTTACCTTCGCCAAGAAGGTTATGTTTTCAGAGGCGTTCGTGTGTGTCTGTGTGTCTGTAGACACGATAACTTGAGAAGGCTTAAATGGATTATCTTGATACTTAGTATGTGGGTAGGTCTTGGTGAGACCTGGAAATGATTAGATTTTGGACCACCTAGCGGCTTGTTATGGTACTGCAGCGGAACCTCTGCTTTTGATATCTCGCGATCTGGACATGCTTGGGTCATGAATTTTGGATGGTAGGCAGCTCTTCTGATCGGGAAGAAGTCACATGAGTTTAGGCCCTCCTAGCAGCTTGTTTTGGAACTGCAGAACGGTTTGTTTTAAAATCTTCAAGAGAGGATAACTGAAAAACCGGTTGACGGATCGTCGTGATTTTTGGTATGTAGGTATGTCTCTTTAGTGATGATTGACATAATTAAATTACAATTATGCAAATTAGGTTAATTAATGAGGAAATTCTATAAATCTGCTGTGTTCGATATTAGGGCTATGAAACTTGTGACTTATGTATTATGAACAATGGGAACATCGGCAGATATTGATTGTTTAAATGAAGACTTAATTTGCAAAATTGATGGCAAATTGTTACAATCTTATAGTGGTAACTGCTGAGAATTTAATACCTGCCATATTTGGAAGTTCAGTGAACATAACTAAATATAATTTATTCAGATCAGGACCTCATTTGGATAATTTACGAGGAAATGCTAGAATAGCCTTATTTCCTAAGATAAGACTGCCATTGGGTGGAGAATATAAACTGATATAATTCATGCTAATGAGGCTCCTTTGAATTTGCATAATCATAAAAACGTATAATTAGTCAGTTTGAACGATTAACATTATTTGGCGAAGGTATGAGATCGTGCAACTCCTGTGTATGAAACCTGAAAATTAATATCTAGTTTTCATACAGCCAACAATATCATATCTTGTCCATGCCAAATGATAAGGATTTCACGTGTTGCATGTAACTAGGTAGGGGCCATGTGAATATTTTGCATTAAAATGTTTCAAATGAGCAAGATTGTAAATGTAAGCCACTTACAGGCTGTCATCACTATGCATAATATTAACAAAAGCACAAAACATTTTATGGAGGAATGAGACCGCCGAATTCTATTATTTGTTTTTTGTTTTGTTTTTTTGCTAGTAATCAATAATACTCCAAAACCCCAAATACCCCCGCGACCCCAGAATGACATGTGCAGAGTGTGTTATCTCTCACCCTCCAATAGTGCTTAGCGACTCGGGATAGTCCGTAAGATACCTGCCTTGTTCGCGAGGCTTGGTGTCTTGCCTTGATGCTGTGCAATCCCTGAAAGTAGGACGCATTTCTTATAAAAACACATTTCCTTCCATATAAGTAACTATATGTATACGAAAAGGTTTGTTGTCTTCAATTGTTCGTTTTATGAAAACGCTCGAAATGAGCTGAATATTCTAACTTCTACAATTTATCCCAATTTATCCAAACTTACAGACAAAGAAAAAACTTTTCTTCTGTTAACTTCCCAAAACCCACAAATTTTAGAAAAGGTGGGACATTACGTCTTCCACGGTTTACAAAAGAGAAGTCAAACCCTTCAGACATAGGTTTAGAAATAAGTATTGTTTCATTCAACTAATTTTTTTTCATTATGTAGATATTAGTTGTTGTATAATCTGTTTCAATATTGTTGTATGTTTATGAGTTGCAATTAGCCTCCGGGCACGAATTTGCAATAAACTTCTTTAATAACTAAAACATGTGATATTTCCTTAGATCTTAGTATTTCTTCACATGAATTTAAAAGTGACGACGTGTGTCTTATTTATGACGTACACATTTGCATTGATTGATTTATTTTGCATTGATTTATTTTGCATTGCATTGTATCCATACAAATATATTATAATGAAAAGTGCATATTGATAATTCACTAACGACATCTTCTCTATTATGTAGCTCTACTTCTGTCTAAAGCAACACACGACGAGTACAAAACAGTCTATAGAGCAGACCGTCACATTCGACTCAATGTCAGTGGTATGATTTTTAGAATCTCGGAGAGCACTTTACATCAGCACCCCAACACGCTCTTAGGAGACCCTGCAAGAAGGCAAAGATTCTACTGCCCAGAAACGGATGAATATTTCTTCGATCGCCACAGACCTAGTTTCGAAGCTATCTTTGGTTTCTACCAGAGAGGACAAAAGAGATCTGAACACGACGAAAACAGACTTATTCGACCTAAAAACGTGCCTGTCGAAATCTTCTACTTGGAAATGAAGTTTTTTGACATAGAACGTGACGTCATCAAACAGTGCCTGGAGAATGACTACTACAGCGAGCATGAGGAGACAGACGTGCAGATGCCGAAACATGGCGGGCAGCGGGCGATCTGGTTACTCTGCGACTTTCCTGACAGTTCTTTAGGGGCAAAGTTTGTTGGGATGATTTCTGCCATGCTTATTTTCATCTCCATTGCCGTATTCTGCGTAGAAACTCTTCCAGAATTTCGGCAGTCTGCTCCAGAGTCCCTGCCCAACAGTACGAATGCAGACCACTTGCGGCTGCTCTACACCCGGCCGCTCTTCCAAGCAGAAACAGCGTGTATCATTTGGTTTTGTTTGGAGCTCATCATCCGTTTCTTTGCATGCCCCAACAAGGGCAAATTCTTGAAGGATCCGCTGAACATATTTGACTTTCTTGCCATCGCACCTTATTTCGTTGACGTCATCATGGTCGTTGCAGCCTATCATGATTCTTCAAAACCATCTAGTTCCGTGACCTTCGTTCGACTGCTACGACTTTTCCGGATTGTCCGGATCTTCAAACTTTCCCGCCACGTGAAGGGGCTGCGTGTGCTGGGGAAGTCGATGGTCGACAGCATCGGGCCGTTTGCACTTCTGATATTCCTCATCATGATTGCAATGACCTTGTTTGGCAGCTGTGTCTACTTTGCAGAGATGGAACAACCGGAGACCAACTGGCAGAGTATTCCGGACACGTTCTGGTGGGTCATCATCACCATGACAACCGTTGGGTACGGAGACCACTTCCCACTCACCACGGCGGGGAAAATAGTCGGCAGCGTTTGTGTCGTTTCCGGTATCCTGACCTTGGCGCTTCCAAGCCCCGCCATTGTCGCTAACTTTAACAAAAATAACGAAATGTCAAAGAACGTTATATCAGAGGAGATCTTGGAGGAACGGCTGAGGTCAGACATGGAGAGAATAAAGCGGAAGACACCAAGGAGTTTGATAAACGGTTCGGGGTATCATTAGGTAAACAAGAAAGCTTTTTTAAATAAGCTGACCGGAGGCCAAAATGGGAATAGCTGGTTGGATAGCATGAGTACGTACTATATTAATATAATAGGTCACCTTGGTTACTTGAAATGTAGCAATGCTAAAAAGAGTGAATTTAGATGAAGTCTGCTTATAACATAGCTGTTTTTAAGACAAGTCAAGTCAATCTTTATTGCACAACAATTGTAACGGGTACAATCCATGGCAAAGTCTTCATTACTACATATCTACTCTCACGTCTACAGTGATACCTACAAGTTCTATGTATCGAAAATAACATTATACTATTTCATAAGCCATGTATATGTATGGAACATGGCTTATTACATGATAACGTACATGTCTTAATGATGATGATGATGATGACTGGTTTATTATTCACATAAACAAACTAGAGTTCCCCGATCTCATACCTTCGCCATTGAATGATGTTAATCTTTATGGCTGACAAATTATAGATCATTCCCCCTGATTGTGCAAATAGCATCCTAATTTTCATAAATTATATCAGTTTATCATATTCTCAACCAAAAGACAGTCTTATATTAACATACAATGCCATTCTAGCATTTCCTCATAAATTATGCAAATGAGGCCCTAATTTGATTATATTATGTTTAATGATGTTGACCTTCAAATACCCCAAGTATGAAATTCCAGGCAGTTATCATTACAGAATTATAACATTTTTTCATTAATTATGCAAATTGAGTCTTCATTTACATAATCAATATGTGCCTGTGTTTATCTCGTTCTCAATTACCAATGTCACAAGCTTCAATAGTCCTATGATGGAATGCAGCTGATTTATAAAATTTCCCCATAAATTATGCAAATCACATCCATATTTGCATAATTGTCACATAATTATATTAAGCATCACGTAAGCTACCTGAATTCCAAAAATCATGACGATCCGTTAACCAGTTCTTGAGTTATTCTTTTCTGAATATTTTCAAACAGATAGCCCTGCAGTTCCAGGGCAAGCCGCTAGGGGGCCCAAACTCACGTCACTTCTTCCCCAGCACAAGAGCTACCCACCATGCAAATTTCGTCACCCTAACATGTCTAGATCATGAGATATCAAAACCAGAAGTTCAGCTGCAGTACCATAACAAGCCGCTAGGTGGTCCAAAATCTAATCATTTCGAGCTCTCATCAAGACCTACCCACCCGCCAAATATCAAGATAATCCATCTAAGCTTTCTCGAGTTATGCTGTTGACAGACAGACAGACAGACACACAGACAGACACACGGCCAGGAAAACATAACCTTCGTCAATTCTTGGCGAAGGTAATAACAAATACATCGACATACAGGTATAAAATTCGGTGGCAGCCTAAATGGCTGAATTGTAGACTTTTTTACAATTTAAAATCTTGAGAATATTATCAATTGAGACTTCAATACAAACACTACATATACATAGAAAATACAAATTCAAAGTACGAAAAGCCTGTTCGGTCAGTACAACAACCAGTATGTTACAGAACTTGCGTATCGTTCAGAAACTTTGTCAAATAGTATATAGAGCCATAGAGCTCTTATCGGACAGTTCTGTGTCTGAGAGTTTGTAGCTGTTTACTCGATCTGGTAGTCCTGCCGGATATGGCCTCACGGCAAGGTGGCAACCAGTTTCTGTAGGTCGGCGATTTCAGTTTTTTCCACTTCGCAAGTAGTGAGTCGTTGAGATATGAAATATGCCGCCAATCAAATGCTGTAATTTGTCAATAATCTTTGCTGCTAGCACGTGCTTAAGGCCTTTTCTACACAGTATATGTAAATATTTCTCATTGTCACAGGAACGTAGTTTCATGACTTCACGGGAATAAAGTCCACCGGTCATCATTTCATCGTATTATAACCCAGTTATTCGGAGGTAATACTGGATCAGCGTAAAGGTTAACAGTCCATAATATGAAACCTTCTGAAGTTTTCCATGGCCTCATAGTTGTTAGTTCTGTTGGTATTTCGTTCCTTTTTACAGATAAAAGATAAATAGATAATTATATGAATGTGTTTTCCTGATAATTGTTTTCTATTACTAATTGTAATCAGCAAATGGCACCTATCAACATTCATGGAATCCTCATACACTATGGCCGTGTTTAAGTGAAGTCACCCAAGGTGCTTTACATGTGGTTTACCCAGAAGCCGGTTTCAAGTGGCTCCATCTGAACGCTCCGAAATCACATTGAAAGCGCCTCGATCCCAAGCCACTTCTAGAGGTGGTTTCGAATCGGTTTTCCCGCATCGCGATTTGCGTCTGAACGCAATGTGATTTCAGTGTGACTTCACTTGGTCATGGATTACGGGGTGATATTTCTTTATTTATACGCAATACCAAATTTTACGTGTCAGCAACTTAAAGAGTAGTAATGGTCAAATAATGTGTCCGTTCTAGGACGAGCTTCACCGCCTCTGGCGGGACTACGTCGGCATTCGGCCGAGATACGCTGGGAAGGGGGCACCAGCAAGCAGGTCGTTGACCCCTGACATTGATAACACGCCACCTTGCGTGTTTTCATCAAACAACAATTAATGCAGTTTCGTAGAATCGTGATCGGACACGGTTTGCAAGGAATGTATGGCACGTGGACCAGACGTGCGGAATGTGAGTTACCCGAATCGCGGTTTGGGTGACTTCACATAAACACGGCCTAAATCTTTCGAGTCACTTAGGCCATGTTGATTTGATTATATGGATGACATCCGCGCGCGCATGAATTTTCGGCCGTTTCCAAAAAAAAAAGTTTTCAACCATACTGTAAATCGTACAAAACAGTTGCAAAATGAGCAAAAATATACCGCAAGTTACAAAAAAATAAGTACAAACTATACCAATGTCGTAGAATGCCAAAATCAAACGAAAAAAGACGAAATTGTAAGGAAATGAACTTGAAGATTAGATTATTCGCCTAACCATATTCTGTCCCATTTGTTCAACCCTCATGACCATGTAGATTTCATAATGAAAACAACTTTTTTTTGTCAAAACTTTTTTTTATTCGCACGCGTGCATCAGATTTGGGGCTCCCGGAGGATGTCATCCATATAATCAAATCAACATGGCCTTATGGCCACTCACACACACCCGATGCGAACCCATGCATCACGCGATTGTCTGTAGAAATTCTGTTCAAGCCACCTTCTCCAATCGTTGGAAAACAGTCACTTGTTTCTTGTATTTCGATGTTGGATCCCCTTTTCCCAATCTAAGATACGTATTAGTAATTACTACCCCCATTAAATCTGTACACTTCTGTTTGTAGCCTTCTTTATTCAATACTATGGTTAGACAAATACCAATCTTCATGACAAAAAAATCTTCATAAGGTTAAAAACAAAACAGAAAACCCAACTTCCTGTACTATGCTAATGTGTTTTGTGAAGATCCCAAAACAGAAGTCATTTGTGACTTAAACAATTGGGCTAACATAGACATCTATTGTTGAATTAGGCCACACCAATTTATTTCCTTGGTTAACGGATTCGCCGCTTCGTTTTTTTGCCAAAATGAAATAAAAATAAAAACAGAACAAAAATCCATACTCTCGGGTCCCGAATTGGGGCCCCAAAATCCACCCCGTACGTTGTATTTTTTCAAAATTTGGGCATAGTTAACAGCGTTAAAAATACATTGCTTCAAGGCAGAAACATTTTTGTAAGTGCAATTTGTTCGGAAAGCTAGGTTGCCTCTTCAAAAGTTCGTCAAAAAAAATTCTTTTGATATAGAACTCGCCCCCCACCCCCTTTGCACATGTCACCATTCGTGGGACAAAACTTCACTGACGACAGTCAAATGTACGGCAGATTTACTAAGTCATCGTGCCTGTAACAACACATCATCTCCCTTTCAGATATATGTTATATTTCATTTAGAAACACGTATTGTGTCGGAAACATGTGCTAGTAGTCGGCCGAACGTATAAACTCGGCCTGGGCGGCACATGCACACACACCTTCAAAACGATCTTTTTTCCAGGGAATATGTAAAAATAACACGACATAACAATGTATTCTGGCATCACAAACTGTATTACTCTCAAAAAGTACAAAATCCTACCACAAACATGGAAATTTGGCAAAGTAAAACGTCCTCCATGCACGTCCATTCACTAAAGCAACTCTTTCTCACGGTCAGAAGAGTCCATTTCGAGTAGGGGGAAACAGGTTCTTTTAATTTTAGAAATTACTCTGTGAAAAATACTACATGTGCATGTGGCATTCTAACAAAGTTACATCTTATTTAGATACCTATAAACAGGAGTACAATTGCAAATAATGCATCAATTATTACATCTAAATTTTTTAATAAAATGGTTCCCCCTACAAATAAAAATCCCCATACATCAAAGACTTTATAGTGAAACCCTAGACCATTGAATTTGTGGCAACTTGAAGAGTGTGTCAATGTGGCTATTTGTTTGAATGATGGCTACTATGTATAATGTAGCTGTAGCATACCTAAAGTGTATAATGGGAAATATAAAATGTATACTACCGGTAGTATTTGGGATTTGGGGAAAGATAAAAAAAAATAAATAAAATATCTGTAAATTAAAGTACTAGTAGTTAATTATTTTGCCAATAACTTTTACACATTCCTGGAAATTTGTCTAAAGCATATATTTAGGATATTGTAAATTTCAAGCTCTAAATGACTTCCATATCAGCCAGACACAATAGGATGCCCAGCCCAGTGGTAAAATAATAAAGCTGTGTGCCCTAAACAATGGGATCTGAACAGAGCACCCTGATTTAAACCACTCTTTGGAACTTTGAAAGATGAATAAAAGTGAAACCAGTTGGATGGGAGTCTTGTCAGTTACTGACAGTTCATACAGTAAAGATGTGTATCTTGCAAAATAATACGAATAATTGTAAAGGGATGTAAGAGAAGTTGCTCATGTACATGTAGTAATGGTCCTTTCAGTTCAATAAGTGTCTAATATAATGTCTTATATCATTTTGTAACTTAACTTAATGGATTGCTTACTACATGGCTGTATGGCAGGTGGTCTCAAATTTTTATTTTTTTTTTTTCGCCCGCCCGCTCCATTTTTTTTCTAGAAAAATCCGTTAACCAAGAAATTAAATTGGTGTGGCCTTAGTTACATATGACACACTGATTCAAAGACATAATACTGGTAGCTATCAGTGTAGAGATTGTTATCTGGCAAAATCGGTCACTATTAGAGACTCTGTCCACAGATTGCGATCAAGATCTCTTGCCAGTACAATCTGTGACTCTACCCAAGCTTAAGGCATACATATCCCAAATTACATGTAGAGTCTGTAAATTCTCTTAAAGACCATACATGTATGACATCAAGTATCAGGTTGGAATCTACAGTTGACATGAGGATAACTACGGTATATAATGATAAAGGGATATCCTCTACTTTTCCACCTGATCTACTTTTTAAAGCTTTAATGCTGCTCATAACCACATCATGTGTCTGTGATGACAAACACCTACTAGTATTACATTGTCCATTGTGACAAGACCTCACATCTTTATCAGTGACTTTTATTTGTTGCTGGAGAAGTGTCATAGGACAGCAACTACCAGTACTCCAGAATACCAGTGCAGCAGGTGTGGGAAGCTGTGTGCCTCAGCCTTTGGTCTAAGAAGCCACCAGAGGATCCACCCCACCTGACGGGCTGTGCACAGAAGTCATCATCGGAGATGATGGACAACCAGAGAGAGAGAGAGGAAGTACAATGTAATCCATGTATATGTGTGTGGTGGGTCCTTTATCCTGACTCATCTTTGTCATGCTTGTTTTTTCCTACAACTATATATACATGTATTTGTATTGTAGAGTGGACCTTGCTGCCACAAAGTACAATAGGGGCATCATTACTGCTGGATAGCTTTAACTTAAGCAATGTTCAGACTTACTGGTAGATGTGCAAAGGCTGAACTGAACTGTGCAAAGGCTACTATTAGGTGTAACAAATTGTGTAGTGTAAAAAAAGCCAGCTGCCACCGTGCTGCATGCCTTCACAGGCCTTCACAGGCATGCAGCTGGTGTGTTGCGCTGAAGGGCAGTTATACCGGCTAGATGGATACAGACTCAACAGAACAGCAAACATTGTGTGGTCAAAATTTTACAAAACTGAAGCACCCCTATACGTGCATTCCATGTCCATTGTATAAACCCCAACTCTTTTTGAACCAGTTCAAAATTTGATGGCTACCATGACAGCTATATCAATAACTGCTGAAGGTCTTTGAGAGATCACTGAGTGATTTTTAATTTTTGGTTGCTCAAATTGTCTCCTGTCTGTAGAAACTTGGGTACAATAGGGGGAAAATATCAGAGGAATTAAGAAGACATTCTGGCTCCAGAGTCTAGACGGCAGTGCCTCTCTCCAGGTTCTGTTTGATTTCTGCCGTGTACTTCCCATAGAAACGCTCGGCCTTCTTGTTGAAGCGCATGTTGCGCTCGTTAATGTAGTCGATGTCTGCATCGTCGTTGAAGCCACGTCTTCGGCTGAACTTGGCCCTCTTCTCGATCCTGTAGAAACAGAAGACTTGAGTTTCAAGAGACAAACATTTCCAAATTGTTCCCCAATGACTTTTCCTTATAACCTGAATTTACTTGTACTTGGATATCATCCTAAGTGGCTAAAGTATTTAAAATGTCTTTCACGCTTAAAAGCAGCAAATAAATCCTAGAATACAACAGATAACCAGATAACTATTTTTTAAAATTATTTTCTAATGGACTGTGCTATTCAGGCATGCAGAAAAACATGAAGCCCTGAAAGTGACTGTTGCTACAAGATAGTGTATCTGTACTGTTGGAATATTCTTCCACCCAAAGCAGTGTTTTAGCCAGCGTCCATCTTTCTGTCATTCGATGGAATTTTGCTGCTCATGACAGACTACAATTTTGCCCAATCTGTCATTTTCGATGGACAAAAATTGCCATGCAAAGATATACAACGTAGAAAGAGATGTCATTAAACTAAGTCTACCCAGTTGGGAAGTGTGGATGAACAATGGGAGACACTTCAAAACGTCTTACTCCAAAGCTGCAAGAACACCATTGGTATCCACAATCGTGTGAGTGAAGACTGGTTTGATGAAACTGATAGTGAGATTCATTCAAGATCTGATTGACAGGAAGCTTTTGCATGTTGGCAAGATGACTATCACAATGCTGAAAAGCACAAGCGCTTTGCTCTCCTGAAGGCCGAGGTCCAGACCTGCATACGGGATATGTGGAAAACCTAGTGGGAGAACAAAGCACAAGGACTGCAAGCCTTTGGCCGACTTTAGACTGACGACGGTATACGATCGCACGACAATCGTTGTGGGCGACGGCTGGCTTTAGACACATGACCAGGAAGCGTGGCGGACACCCGCAGCACAGGATAGCAAGCCGCACGCCAATTCAAAATGGCGAGAGAACCCCTTTTTTCGGCATGCTGCAGCAGATTGTTTTTATTCTGCTTTTAACTTGTTGTCCTGTGGATGAGACGCAAAGTTTGTGGCCAGCAAAGAATGAGGCACATGTACCAAGAGGGGCAATACTCCGGGTTTGAACCCGGCGTTCGGTGCTGCCGTCGGCCTGGCTTATAATATTGGCCGGGAAATGTGGATCGGCAGATCGGTTCGTACCTGAGAAGTAGCGATTGGTGGCAGGGGATTGTACTAGACACGTTTGACGATATAAAGTCTTTGGTTTGACGACATTTAATGATACAGGCGATGTGCTTGGACATGAAATAACGCTTGCAGGCTTATTTGCATAAGGCCAATGACCTCCCACTTCCTTCGCCGGCGATGGTTCACTTTAGACGGTGGAAAATCCTCCTCAGACCCCCCGCTGAAGGATCGCACGATAAGGTCCCGGAGGTGGTAGTGACGACGATTCGAGGATTACCGTCGTGCGACTATTTTGATCGTCTTTGATCGTGTTTAGACGGTTGTAAAATACATCTTGACAATAAACATTCGTACGACTATTCAACCGTCGTCAGTCTAAAGTCGGCCTTTGCTGACTGACATGACATGCTCAACTTTTTCAAACTCCAAGACCAAGTCTGGCTTAGCTCCCCTTGAGCAAGGAAATACTGCCTGAAATTCAGTCTGGTTTCAGACCTCCCAGAGGAACTGTCGATATGATTTTCACTGCTAGACAAATCCAAGAGAAATGTACGGAACAGCGACAACCTCTCTTCATGGCCTTTGATCTGCTGATTAGCTGAAGCTGGCTCCTGTAGTATAGAGGCCCTCATTATGCGCAGTCAACCACGCTGAACTGGCCACTGTGTCCGCATGCCAGACCATCGGCTTCCTAAACAGGTTCTGTTCGGTCAACTGGAACAAGGGACTCGTCCGAGGGATGGACAGAAAAAAAAAGTCTCAAAGAGTCTCTTAATTGCTTTTAAAAGTGCTACTTAAAAAGGTCATATTGACCCTGCTAATTTTCAACCACTTTGCCAAGATCGTAATGCTTGGAGGCAGCTGACATTTAACAGAGTCTCAACTTTCCAGACTGAGAGAGAAGCTGCTGCGGAGGCCAAGAGGAAGGCCAGGAAGGAGCATCAATATAAGGACTGACTACACCTGTGGACTTGCTGTCAACAGTTTGCCACTCAAAATACAGGAAATGGTATTTCACTTTCAGAGGGACAATATTTGAAATTTTCCTGGGAGAGTATGCCCCTGACCCTACGCCTTCAACACTCGTTTTGTTATTTGAGATTAAGGAAAAAAATTCAGGCTGGCTAGAATACTGACCCAAAGTGTCCCTGTCTTCATCAGAATCACACTATGGAAGTTCAACTCAATACAAACAGGTTTACACTGATGCCCCTTGATAGTTTCTACAGTTGTCAGAATTTCTAAGAATGTCTAACTTGCAGTTTAGCAATATGATTAACATGGAACAGTTATACTGGAATCCACAACAGAACCCCTAACCATTGTACCAGTAGCCAAGTACACAGTTGTCGCTCTTTCCTTTTATATATCAGTAACTTTGACATTATACACTATGAAATGACACTCACTGTTTTTCCACGTCTGCAACTAGTCTGTCCACAGCCTCTTCAGAGTCTTTCCTTGTTACATCAACCAGTGTGTTCATGTCAGGGTAGAACTCCTCACCCCTGTGTACAAACCAAACATGGTTACATTAATCACTGACAGTATGTTCTGTCAAACCATAATGATGTTCACTTGTTGGGCAGTATCATGATAACAAATAAGTATTTATATACAAGATAAATTCATCCATTGTGGTCAATACAAGCACTATGCCCCAGTGCATGTTACATTCAAGTGACTTAATTCAGTGTTCTCGCCAGGCCTTTTGAGCATAGGGGCCCCCTATGCTGTAATTTGGACCCCCTATGCTGTAATTTGGACCCCCTATATATATATGCTGTGATTTGGACCCCTATGCTGTATTTCAACCAGCATAGGGGTGTTTGTTGGGGGAGAACCTTCATAAATCTTGCCAAAAATGATAATATAACTTAAGGATGAAACTATACAAAAGGGAAAACCTTAACTTCACAAAATCTGACCCTCAATAAGTGAGAAATAGTGTTTCAGAAGCTGAGTTTTGAAGCTGAACTGCAGGAAATGTGTGACTCATTCAGCAGCACATGCAATAGATTCGGACAAACAATCAGCGTACTCTGATGTCCCTAATAAACGTACCGGTACGTTTATTTTTTTCGGCCCGAACGTCCACCCGGTACATTCTTATTAGGGACGGTACGTTTATTAATTTTGGGGGAAAAATTGGCATACGTACCGCACCATCAGCAAGTGGCCGGCGGCCGCAAAATTCGGCAACAGGTCACAGATAAATATTTGGTCCATGATAGCGGCATTTCCCATGAATATAATGTATATTATTTATTTTTCGCCTGCTGTCCATTTTTAAGTCCCAAAACGTCTGAAAAAGCAAAATTTTGCCCACAAAACCGAAGGGGAAGGCGAGTAGCTAAATCGACGTATAATTTTAGCACATGGCGGCCGCGGCCGCAAGTCCTTGTCAAAATCGGCAACGCGGCAGAAAAATGCGTGGTCCATTTTAGCGATATTTACCATGAAAAAACGTATGTGGTTTATTTTCCCTCTGGTATTAGTTTTTAGGTTCCAAAACCCCTAAAAAAGTAGAAATTTGCCCACAAGACGGACGGCCGACGTGGGGAGGGCGCCTAGCGCCTGAGCAGCATGACCCGTAAAAAGTCAAAGGTCATAGGGCACCCATATTGCGCAATCACCGTAAAAGCGCCGATTTAGCTAATTTTAGGGCGTTTAAAATTGATACAATCACATTATCGATTTTTAAAAAAACAATGAGATGGAAACCAATCAAAATTTTATGCTGAATAATATTTTTTTTCTTCAAAAGTTTTTTTCTTCAGAAGTTTTTCTTCTTCAGAATCCAGACTTTGACCAGACTAGACAATGTACCATACCAAATAATTATTATGTTGAAATGGATTTTGTTGTAGATATACTCATTAAACCCCTATATTTGTACTTAATTGGGCTTGATTTTCTATCTCTTAAGTTAGTCAGATTTTCAACTCAAGTTGCAGGAGAAGGCTTAGCAAAGTGCATTTCAGAAGTGTAAAATGCAATAGCTTCTCCTACGGATTTTGTATTTCCCCAAAACAAGTACAATATATATATACTCATTAATTAAAGTGATATATACTCACTAATTAAATGTAACAGTGAAAGATTTGCCCATATATTGGTATTGAAATAAAGAGCACATTTTAGTATCATGGTCGACACACAGTTCACCTGTCAATTTGGTCATTTTCCGGGGGGTACGTTTATTCCGGAGGGTATGTTTATTAGACTTTGAAGATTTGTCCGGGGGGTATGTTTATTCCGGGGGGTATGTTTATTAGGGACATGAGAGTAAAGAAGACAGTTGCCTTCTCAACTAATGCACCACCTCCTCACATTGTCATAAACGAGAGTACCCTCGACACGGTTGAAGACTTCCGTTACCTCGGGTCTGTGGTCTCCTCGTCTGGCAACCTAAACCGTGAAGTCGACTCGCGTATCGGCCAAGCTGCCAATCTTTTCGGTAAACTCAAAAGCCGTGCCTGGGACAATAAGTACCTCACAGTTCACACTAAAGTGAGGATCTACAGAACCTGTGTCCTGTCTGCTCTGCTGTATGGCAGTGAGGCCTGGGCTTCTCACGCCCACGTTGAAAGAAAACTCAACAGTTTCCATCTCCGTTGTCTCAGGAAGATCTGCGGGGTCACGTGGATGGATAAAGTCCCAAACCAGGAGATCTTCAGAAGATGCAGCATCACAAGCCTGTATCCCATCCTAAAGCAACGAAGACTGCGCTGGCTGGGCCACGTGTCCCGCATGGACCAGTCTCGCTTACCCCACCAAGTCTTGTACGGCCAGCTTGCCGACGGGAAACGCGACAGGGGGCGCCCAAAGCTTCGTTTTGTTGATGTCTGCAGGCGCGACCTGAAGTCATTCCACATCGGAGCGGCCTGGGAAAGTCTTGCCATGGACCGTACCTCTTGGAGGTGCCAGCTTCAGCAAGGTGCTGCAAGTCTAGAAAACGACTTGCAGCGAAGAGACAGCGCCAGAAGAGAGAAAAGGAAAGAACAATGCTTCACTTCAGCCTTCACTTGTGTAATCTGCAACAAGCCCTGCAGAAGCAGGGCTGGGCTAGCTGCACACCGCCAGGCCCACAAACTGTGAACTGATCGTCCGACAGGATGAAAAGGACTATGGTGATGAGTGTTTCAGAGGGTTATGAGTTTCAAATTTTTTCGGCCCAATGTGCGACTTGCGCCGCGAAAGTTGTCCTTCTGTACCTGACCCCTATGCTGTGAAAAAATCCTGGTGAGAACCCTGTAATAATGCTTTAAATATTAAAGCATAATTTAGCAGTCTTGGTTTACAACAATTGGAAAATCAAACTCTACAAAACAGTACAAAATAGCGGGGTTGTGTGGCATAATGGTAGGGTGTTCGGCTCAGACCCAAGAAGTCCCGGGTTGGAATCCTGCCTGATGCCACCGATCTCATTCCCTTGGGAAAGGTACTTCACACGACTTTCCTCACTTCAATCAGGTGTAAATGAGTACCAAGCTTCGGTTAGGGACGTCCCTTGAATAGGATGTTAAATGGAGGTCCTGTGTTTGGGAGAGCCACACCCCATGCACGTTAAAGAACCCACCACACTTATTGAAAAGAGTAGGGCTTCAAACCTTACAGTCCAGTCTTACACAGCTTGTACTTACATGTACAAAACTGGTGTGTTGCACCTAAAAGGGCAGTTTACCAGTTATGCAAAACAAACAAAAGCTATCAGCTGACTACCTACATGTACATGAAGTGTAGATTCTTCAAGTGTAAAGAGTCCATTCATAAAATTTCAGACACAACACATGCATAGAGAGTTGGTAAAACTCAGCACCTAACACTGCACACAGTTGAAATAATTAAACGACCAACTTACATGTGGTTACAGCCTATTTCTTAGTGGAATTTCTTAACAAATAGAACATGTTTCCAAACGTTAACTTTTTTGATAACCCGTAAAAAGGAAAACTAATTATACACTGTCATAGATCAAGTCTTACAGTATCTTCAGTGCTCACATTTTTTCCTTCTGTTGCTGATAGTGTTCCATATTCGGTTTCATCTTCTTAGTCAGAGCCTGGTACTGCCTCAGTCCAGCAGCTTCATATGCTGTGGAAAAATACACCAGTACAGTAAATGGCATGGAAGTTCATCTGTTATCATGGAAGTTCATCCGTGTTGGTAGTAATCATAGTACGAAGCTAAACTTTATTCAAACAAAAAGGTAGCAAAGGCCCAAATTTTCAACTACTCCTGACTCCTGTCACATCAGGATTACTTCAAACTATCATAGAAATAAACTCCCTGACACGTTTGATCGATTGCTGACATCATGTCAATGTCACATGTCTGTATCCATAACTTTCTGGGTTTACGATGTTCAGAATTGATTAGTCACAAATTATCCTGATGAAGGCGACAGTGGTTGTTGAAAATTTGATCCTTGTGTAGTAATGTGTACCATTTGTGTTGGAATAAAGTTTAGCATCGTACTGTATTACTGTAAATTCACAATTTGTTTGTGGTACTTTTATGTTCGCGGTTTTTGCAGACAGTTCTGTGCCACTAACTTTTCATTACTGTGAACAAATAATTTGCCGACTTTTTTTCTCTGCACCTGCCACCACCGTGAACATGTTTGACGAACATGTCCATTTTCTCTGACCCCAAACTTTTGGTATTACAAACATAAGTGAATTACAAATAAATGTTAATCTGAACTTCACTACAAAAGGTGTTTTAGAATTTAGAATTGGTATAGTACTACTACCTGGTCACATGGAGTTAGGCAAGGTCCATGCAGTGTAACTGACCACATGGAATGACGTCACAGGCTCACAGGTCAAGGGAGTGGCACTAGCTTGGGTGGCAAGTTTTGCACTGGGCACACAAGTGCGTTTACCTAGTGTACCAGACCTTTGTTTACATGTATATAGTCATTTAGTTGGTGATTGTACACACGTAGCTGTATTTTAGCAACATGGTTCATGTACACAGAGACATAATCTGGAAGAATCTGCGATTGTAGTGATTTCTGAGGGATGAACTCAAGCAGAGGAGAATGGATTGCAGTGGTCAAATGAGACAACTGGCACCCCATACATGTAGATACAAGCAGATTGTGTACTGTAATGGTCATTTCATCTAGGGTAGGATTTGAATTTCAAAATCTTAAGCCATAGTTTTAACTTTGTGGTTTTGTTCACATAAAGGTTGGAGTTTTCATATTGCAAACTCGTATCATGGCAAACGTGTTATACTGCCCCTCCCAGTCCTATCACTGCTGTATTGTACATGCATTCCCATGTTAGAGCTAACCAACAATCTGGAAACTGATTTACTGGTATGATGGCAAGACCTAAAACTCATTTTAGTAGAACTCACTGCCACCAAGTACAGGAGGGCATCCTCACTAGATAGCTTTAAACAAATTCTAGGTGTAACAAGCCATTCAGTGTGATATAGCCAGCTGCCGCCACACCATGTGCCTGCAAAGCTGGTGTGTTATGGGTGTGTTATGCCGAGGGGCAGTCATAATAACTATACGGACACAGATACCTACATGTCATATATGTTGCTTGCCTAACCACTGGGCCATTTGATGCCATCATTTGTAATCAAACAGTCCAATATGAACTTAAGACATATTTTGGTCTCCTAAGCAAGTACAATGTATCTTAAAAAGGAAAGAAGCTACAAATCATACTTGAGAATCCAGGATCAGGGTTTTTCTTCTTCTTCTTCCTCTCCCATTTCTCCACCTCCTCTGCTGTCCACTCCAACATGCGCAACCTGTCATAGTCTTCACCCTTCTCCTCTGCTTCCTGTAAACACACAATAAAAACACTGCTTACCGTTTAAATGAAGTTACTCTTTTAAATGAAGGAAGCAACTTTTTTGACATTTCAACTCTCAAGAGACACCTGAGGCCAAAAGCCAAAGTCGGGGTGCGCGCTTTATTCAGGTTTTTCCCTGAGAAAAATCGTTTAACAGGCCTGGCAGACGTTTTTCATGGAACAATGTTAAATATATTTGATAACATTAATTGTTGAGTATCAAAATTATTATAATGCTGTCTGGCTATTACAAATAATATTATGAGACACTGAATTACGTGTCAGGCTGTGTCAACTGTGTACAAAAATCTTCCAAGAATTCCCGAGGAAGAATACGGCTGAAATGCGGGCACATTGACAAATATTTTGATGAAAAACGTAATTGCAGGGATCTGAAATGTTACTGGGTTCTCCTTAGCTGGAGTTTTTATTGTTTTGATTGGTAAAGCACAGGGTAAATATGGATTTGGGGTGAGAAAACCAAAATACAACAGCACTAGCAAGACCTAGCACATCACATCTATCTACACTGTGCTTTGATCAGGAGTGTTAAGAGGCATTTTTGGCATGTCCTCTGTTAAAACATGTTAGCAAAAAAGCAAAGCCAAGGGAAGTATAAATTTTTACCTTTCTTTTCTTCTCTTCCTCCTCCTTCCACTCTTCTCTTTTCCTCTTCTGTTCAAAGTTGGCAGGAAGTTTGTTCCTCCGATCCTCCTCCACAACCTCCTGATGGTTCATCTTCCTGGCCTCATTCTGTAACAAACACAGTTCCAACATGGCAGCCAACTTTTATTCAGATTATATTTCAATCCAAACCAGGGGGAATGGGACTGAAAGAATTCATTTCATACCACATGTATGGGTGTGAAATACATTAGGCCTGACGTAAAGTAAACCTACAGCCAGTCCCACCTGCTTGTGACTTGAAAAGTTTATAAAGTGGAACTGGAGAAAATATGGTATTCTAGTTTAAATATATCAAGCAGCTGGATCGTATGATAGCAGGTATTGGATATAAAATAAAAAAAAACTAGAAACATATTTAACATTTCCAAAGCAAATGCAAGCAAGCATCAAAAGTGATTTACATATAGGTATTGAATGAATGAATGAATGAATGAATGAATGAATGAATGTCTTTATTTCAGTTATCTAAGAAAGGTAGAAACATAGAAACACAAACTATGCATACAGCATCTTATATAAATATGTACATTTGTAAAAAAAAGAATTTCTGTACTGAAAATCTGACCTCAGAAGACATTATTATTGTATTACCGGTATGCTGTTCTTGGTGTTTGTTTAGCCTATTAATAAAGGAGTAGGATAATTTTCTGTGTCTGGCATCAAATGTGTCAGTACATGTAGTTTGGTGAACAAACATAGTACTTGCACTGCACCATCTTGGAAACTTAAGAAGTATCCGAAAACAATTATTATATGCCACCCGACATTTGGCAAGCACACTCAAATTCATCATTCATTCATCTGTCGTCCCTGTCGGGCAGGGTAAGTTGCTGCACTACCGTACTCCACAGCGATCTGTCCGCCATGGTTGATTTCAGGTCATCTATATCAAATCCCGTGTATCTGGAGATCATTCTTGGGTAGGTCAGTTTTCTGGAATAGCTTTTCCCACTAGGCCTCCAGAGACTAAGTGACGAGATAATTTCTCCGCTCGCCATAAAACAGTGACCAGCGAATCGAACACGTCTCTGCTTGAGCCTGTGGGACACTAGAGGGAGCTTTCCATATATGGTAGCCATGGTTGGATGCTGTTTCCAGCTCATGTTTTGTGCTCTGCGCAAAAGCCTGGTGTAAGTTCCATCAAGTTTGTTTTCCAGGCGAGTTGTCAGTGTCCAAGTTTCCGCCCCATATAGTAGAATGGGCTCAACAATGGTTCGAAAGACTTGTAGTTTTAGATCGTTGCTTACACTTGAGCACCAGATGTTATCTAGTCTATTACATGTCTCCCACGCTAAGGCTTTCCTTGTTGTAAAGTCCCTGTCAGAGTCCATGATATAGGATCCTAGGTACTTGAAATCAACTACTTGCTTTATGCAAGTGCCAGATAGAGATTTAAGTTCTACTGGTGCAGTGGAGGTACTTGTGCTTATAAACTCCGTTTTGGCTTTGTTGCAGTACAGACCAACATATGAGGCTGCTTTTTCAAGAGATTGCAGAAGTGATTCTGCGTCTTTCACCAACTGTGCTACCAAGGCCAGATCATCAGCGAAATCTAGATCTGTGAGATTCACTGCTGGGTAACGGCGACTCCTTTTGGGCTGGATTTCAATACCTTTGTCATGCACACTGTCAAGTACACTCAAATTAACACGGTTCCATGGCTGGACACCAAACAGTTAGGCGCAGTAAGTCCTAGATAAAGTCTTTTTCACGGCAAGAGAACAGTGGTAAAATTTCCTATTTATACAATTGGTGTAGCGATACAAACGTCTTATTTCAGCTCGAACACAATCATCGTCACTTAACGTAATATTTAAACAGATGCCAAGATAAACAAAAGTATCCACATGCACATATATTTCAACTGTACGTTGTAAAGCTTTACAGACTCCAAATTCCTGCGAATTCCTTGTTTTCAATAAACCACTATTCAAAGACGGCCAATAAATACATGTATGTTCGTAGATAGCCTCCCTTACCCCCCATTCAAATCTAGACTCACGGTCTAAAATATCAGTACTATCTACATGTACATCATGGCATGGAGGTCTTAGATCTCTGAATTCTTGTTTTGATAGAAACAATTATACAAATATTCCAGACAAAAGGAAAAGAGCTTTTTGAGGCAAAAGGATTTATATGACAAATCTTACCCTCTTGAGACTGAGCTCCTGTAACTTGGCCATCCGCTGGGCTCTCCTCTCTGCTGCTGACATGGAGCCTGATGCAGATGGCTCTGTGCTGCAAGAAGCCTGGATAGAACAAGAACATTGTTCTTAACTTATGGCTTCACCACCATAACATATTGTTTTTATGGTGTGGTGGTGAAACATATTGTTTTCCCTCATGTTTCTTCTTCTCCTTCTCCTGCTATTTCTTTAAATGGATTCAACTCTGACATTTTTCAGCCAATTGACCTGAAATTTGGCATGGAGGTACATGTAGAGTGGGCAAATACCCCCAGACGCCTTTTTTTTCATTTTTTTGGAACAGGCCTATAAGTATAAGATTGTTACCTCCATGAAATGTGTCATGGAGGTTATATTTTCAGTTGCGTTTATCTGTCCGTCTGTCTGTTGGTCAACAAGATAACTCAAGAACGCCTGGATGGATTGGTTTCATACTTGGTGTGTTGGTAGGGTGTGACGAAAACTGGAAATGATGAGATTTTGGTCCCCCTAGTGGCTTCCCTTGGTACTGCAGCGCAACTTCCGGTTTTGATATCTCGCGATCTGGACATGCTAGGGTCATGAAATTTTGATGGAAGGTAGCTCTCGTGCTTGGGAAGAAGTCATATGAGTTTGGGCCTCCTAGCGGCTTGTTCTGGAACTGCAGGGGACTTTCTGGCGAAATGTTTAAAAGCCAATAAGTCCAGACAGGAACAACATATTTTCATTATTTTTGGTGTGTAGGTAGCTGAGAGAGAGAGATGTACATAATTAAATGCAAATTATGCAAATGAGGACTTTATTTGCATAATTAATGAGGAAATTCTATAATTACAGTGTTTTACATTATACATGTAATGTATGTAACCTATGGCAGGCGGAACTTCAACAGATACTAATTATGCAAATGATTACCTAATTTGCATAATTAATGCGAAAATTCTATGATTTCATAATGGTGAATGATGAGAATGTCATACTTGGGACATCTGTAAGTTAATCAAAAGTTAACATACATCACGATGCATATATCATGTTAATGCAGAGGTCATTTGCACAATTAAAGAAGAAATTTACATTTACATATCAAGATCATATTTCATGGAGGTATGAGATCTCGGAATTCTAGTTTTGTTTTGTTTTTTTTAAATTTTTTTACAACCCCAGAGAATATTATTTACGCTTTTGGTGTGTGTCACTTCAAAACTATGTAAAGATGGGACTTTTAAAGGGGTTTGCAGTCAGTAGAAAATTCTTTTCTTTCTTTAGGTACACGTACATAAGAATAGTAAATGACAACCAGTGATTATTTTACCAGTGAGTGCATCCTTGATGTTATGTATCATCATGTTTCCTTGCAAAATTATATTTCTGTATTTCTTTTTTTTCAATCCCACAACTAAAGCAAAGAACAAATTACACAATTGAGCTATAACATGTACATCTAAAACTAAAAGGGCTTTACTTGTGCAATGAATGTTTTCATATGTTTGAGAATAAAGACATCTCTGTTGGTACTGAAAGCATGTGTCACTTTCTTTTGGGGGGGGGTGTCAACTTACCGGCTATCTCTCTATAGTGGTCACTTGTCTATAGTGGTCAAATTTGGCCAGTCCTTTGAGTGACCACTATAGACAGGTTCGACTGTACTGCATTTTTGGATCCTAGCAAAACTTTTCACTCACTCATGAAATCAGATCATGACGGTCTGGTCACAATGACGTGTGTGTGCGACAAAGACTGCTGAGTTTAGAGGCATTTCTGTACTCTCCATGCAGAGGTTGGGGTTTTGGGTTATTTTTGGCGTGTTACTAGGCATTTTTATCAGGATTTCTTTTTTGCACTGGAATTTTTCCACATGCCAAACATGCCAAAAATAACCCAAAACTACTTGGAGAGTTGCATTTTTGTGAATACGTACCAGTTTTACATATACACTATACTGTTCCCAATCTGAAAAATATAAAATATAAAGAATTGTCGCCTAATGGACAGTTGAAACTGTTGTCAGTTATTGTCAGAGTTTGAGCTGGTCAACACCATTTTCTTTCTATATTTGGGAGGCAGACTCTTGTGGCTCTCTGGTGCATAAGAATTTTTGAGATTGAAATGTGGGAAAGTACTTTCAGGCAAGGCTAGGACTCGTAGTAGGTTATACCTCCATGCATACTCTCATCTGCCGAATAAACATACCCCCCAGAATAAATGTACCCCCCGGACAAATGTTCAAAATCTAATAAACATACCCCCCGGAATAAACGTACCCCCCGGAAAATTACCAAAATTGACGGGTAACCTGTGTCTCTTATAGTAAAATGTGCCCTTACTGATAGTCAAGTCAATCTTTATATATTAGTAACTGTTATTTGCAATTAGGAATTTAAATAGACAACAAAGAGAGCATTTCTAGTACAAATGTAGTTGGGAAATACAATTACAGTCAAACCTGTAATAACGACCACCCCTGTATAGAGATCACTCGTCCATTACGACCACTTTTTGTTGGTCCCTTGCATTTTTCCCATATTTGCATTGACTCAAGCGTTAAGAATCTTGCATTGCGTCTACCTGTCTAACACGTCCAGCGTCCACATGTTTACGGTCCCGAGACGGCCTGGCGCCGCCCAGTACGACCACCCCACCACCAAAATGCGAATCTCACCGTCTGAGTCCAGCCGTGCGTACGTTGCCAAATGTTGGCCAAGAAAATCCAACGGGTACCGGGTAATAAAGAATATGGGCATGATGTGGCAGTGTTTTGTTTTTTTTTGCTAGCGTTCGTATCATAAAAGAAAACAAAGTGCCGATTACTCAAAAATGGCCCCTAAAAATCCCAGCTAACCATCCCAGCATGTCGTAACTTGGCGTCGATTGACAACTTTTCTTTTGGGAGAAATCCACTAAAATCAGAAAATAATGCTTTTGTAGCGACCAGATGGGGCTCCAGATATTTTCTGGGCGATATTACCCGGCATTTTGTCGTAAAAATGAGCCAAAACTGTGGTAGCAGAAAGCCGAGAAATATCCAACATGGCGTCGCTGTAGCATGCGGAAGGTCATTTGGGGGTAACGGAAAGTCTCATTTTTTTACGGGGAAGACTTTGTAATATTGTACCCGATTTCTTGATTTTATCGCGGTAAATCAACATCGACAAATACAATACGGTTGCTCAAAATCTTAAATATTAAACAGTTAAATGAATTGCTTAGTTTGTTAGATTTTGTTCTAATTTAGAGCTTTGAGGAGTTCGTATTTTGATGAGCACCACCCATGACAATGGAACATTCAGACAAATTTATGCACGCGGCGAAACAGGCCCGAATTTCGCTGAAAATGACAAGTTTCTCGCTACAATACGCGTTTATAAATGTCTTCACGTCGAAGTCGAAAAAAAATAATGATTTTCAAAAAATTAATAAACGTACCGTTTAAAATAAGAACGTACCGGGTGGACGTTCGGGCCCAAAAAATAAACGTACCGGTACGTTTATTCGGATTATGAGAGTACCTGCATACCATCTTCGGGTTGGTAGGCTTTTAGCCTGCGGGTCCCGATCTTCCCTCTAGCTTGTACTGGAGATGTATATGATATTGGCCCAGGTCTTATCCAGTCGGTTTTTAAACTCATTGACTGTCTTAGCTTCAACTACTGTTTGTGGCAAGGAATTCCAGTCCTTCACAGTTCTAACACTGAATGACTGACCCTACTCTTATAGCTAGTGGTACTTTGAGCTTGTACTTGTGCCCTCTTGTTGAGCTATCGGCTGACATTACTATAAAAAAAACGATTCTAGTGGGAGAAGTCTCTCCAGCCCCCTTACAAGCTTGAACAGCTGGATCATGTCAGAAGGAGTCTAAGGCCAAACCAATTTAATTTCTTGGTTAACGGATTTTTCAAGAAAAATAATGGAACGGGCGGGCGAAAAAATAATAAAAATAAAAACAGGCCTAGGCATCCTATTATGGCCCAAAATGGTACGATAGGAGCCATGAAGTCAACATACCAGGCTGATTCAAAATTTAAGCAATGAATTTTGAACTTTTAATGATACCACTGCATTGAAAGATGGAATAACTTTAACAACTAGGATGAAAAGGACTGTTTTCAACTGTTCAGGGAAAAATATGAGCATTTTGCAGTTGATTCTGAATTTTTATTTTTATTTGCAAATTAGAAAAAAACAAAGCGGCGAATCCGTTAACCAAGAAATTTAATTGGTGTGGCCCAAGGGCCCTTTAATCTTCCCTGGTAAGGCATCTCTCTAAGGGTTGAAGGGAGTTTTGTTGCTCTTCTTTGTACTTTCTCCATCCTCTGTTGGTCCTGTTTAAAATGTGGCCCCCACACAACATTCGCGTACTCTATGTGCGGCCTTACCATATAGCCTTGTACAGTAGTGGCACCGTCTGCAGATAGAGGTTGTAAAAAGTTCTCTCTATAATCCCCAGCATCTGGTTGGCTTTTCTGGTTGCAATTGCTTCATTAGCATGAAAGTTTAATTTATTGTCCAGTGTCCACAATGACTCCCAAGTCCCTTTCCTCTGTTTCTTGTATTTCCTGAGCCCCCAAAAGGTACTTTGCCTTTATGTTGTTTCTTCAAAGGTGTAGTGCTTTACATTTTCCTGCGTTAAAGGGTAACTGCCACACACTTGTTGGACCAGCCCTTTACAGCTTTCATGTCTTCTTGCAGAGACTATCTGTCCTCAGCTGTGCCGACGTTACGGTAAACTTTACTGTCATCAGCAAAGATGTTGATTCCACTTGTCACGGCTTCTGGGAGGTAGTTAATGAAAACTACAAACAGGACTGGCCCTAGAATGCTTCCTTGGGGTATACCACTCCTCACCTCGGCCCAAGAAGAGTATTCTCCATTCAGCACTACTCTTTGTCGCCTGTGTGCCAAGAAATCCTTAACCTGACCAGAGTTTTCCTGTTACTCCATAATACTGCAACTTGTGGAGGAGGCGTTTATACGGGATGCTGTCAAAAGCTTTTTTAAAATCCAGAAACACGACATCAACTGGGTCTCCCCCTGTAGGATGTCTGTCCATTCTTCCATTACTATCAAGAGCTGTGTGGTGCAAGAGCGACCTGGTACAAATCCGTGCTGTGCATCCGTGAAGTAGTTATTTACTGTCATGTGCTGCACCAGGGTCTCTCTAGAATAATCGACTCAAATAGTTTCCCAACAATAGAAGTAAGGCTCACAGGTCTATACTATAGTAACGAGAGTCTCGGGCATGGACAAATTGTTACATGTAAGTTATGTGTATCTATTATATATATATACAAATAAACTGCCTTTTTACTACACCTGGGGAATTCTAAACATATCATGCTACCAATTTTGACACCAAATATGGAGCTGAAATTACATTTTTCGCGCTTCTTAGGCAACATTATTCAGAAGGCAAAACCGTTTTCGTACTTACCGACGCCATGTTGATGATGATGACGTGCGTGTGTGTGACGTCACGCAGATATTGGGTCATCAGGCGACAAACCGCATCACCTTTGCTCGCGGACTAATACCAAAAACGCTTCGCTGGCCTCCGCTGGCCGACCAACTTCATCACGCCGAAAAACACTACAATCCCGATGTTTTTTAACAATTCAAAACCTATTTGAAAATCTATAACGATTGCCGAGTAATGGAGAGCCAAACCAAACCTGGCGTGACAACCACGCAGATCCGGCGATTTACTGCGCACTATTTCAGCCTTTAAACTCCGACCCGGAAATCATGCGGGTATTTCCTGTCACAGACGCCACAGCTGGTTTATAACGTTACGTGGATGGAGGCGATTCTGTCTGGATTATTTAGGTTTTCACTGCTTCATCGCTCGTCACGCATCATCCAAGGCAATCACAGGTAGTGCAACTACCCAAAATATATCCGTGCATTACGTTTTTTTTTTTCGACGGCCCCCTCTAATGCACATGTGTAGAACTCAGATCAGAGAAAGGAGTAGCCGTGGCGACTCTTGACTCGGGCTTACATAATTTTGCATTACCCTCAGCAAGAGTCGTGGAAAGATCCATTGGCAGAACTGCACATTTCCCGTTGGCTGCTCGATGCTCCGTTTTTGACCCGGTTTTTTGCTGTCCCGAGCTTCCCTACAATATAACTCCACAATTGGCCGGGTTGCCGATGTTCAGATCGGCCTAAATATTCCACAGCGCGACGGGAAAGTACTAAAATAGCTAGTCGGTACATCCGCGCCGCCATTTTGGATATAGTCCGGAATGTCCGCTACCGCCGTCGGGAACGCTCGGTAGCGCCACGATTACCGAAGCGGGACCGAAAACTCTCCGATCATAACCGGAAAGCCTACCGAGCGTTCCCGACGGCGGTAGCGGACATTCCGGACTATATCCAAAATGGCGGCGCGGATGTACCGACTAGCTATTTTAGTACTTTCCCGTCGCGCTGTGGAATATTTAGGCCGATCTGAACATCGGCAACCCGGCCAATTGTGGAGTTATATTGTAGGGAAGCTCGGGACAGCAAAAACCGGGTCAAAAACGGAGCATCGAGCAGCCAACGGGAAATGTGCAGTTCTGCCAATGGATCTTTCCACGACTCTTGCAGAGGGTAATGCAATGTAAGCCCGAGTCAAGAGTCGCCACGGCTAAGAAAGGAGTAACTGGAAGCGTCGATGAAGGTTAGACATCCAGGTAATACGATATGCCAAAAAACAGTTACTCAAGCAACTGGATATGATTTTGAAAACGTCATGACGTTTTCAAAATCATATCCAGTTGCTTGAGTAACTGTTTTTGGCATGAGTAACTGGAAGGTTGACTCTGACCCTCTGACCCCTTACTCTCCAAGCAGAGGTTGTGGGGAATGATCGTTACCTTTAAGTTTTTATATATGGCCGTTTTTTGTTCCTGATCCCCACCCCGTCGGTGGCTCATGGAGCTTCTCTGGCTGGATACTGCCTGGCCAATTTGATACTGTTTTTTTTGCCACCGAGAGGGGATCTGCTTGGAGATTATCTGGCCCCCGGGAATGGAACCCGCGCCGCTCGCGTGGCGTGTCAGCTCACAACCAGCACCTGCGCCCCAAACCATTCAAGATTCAAAAGGTCATTCGGGTAGTTAGTGACGCCTATATACTCGCTGCTACATATACACATACACATGTAACTTTATATAATGATCATATTACCTTCTGCCTGTCCTTCTTCCCTCAGCAACAACTTAGACGGGCAAAGAGTTCCGAGATCTCATACCTCCATCATGGAATATGGGCTTCAATCAATCAATCAATCAAATGGTTTATTTGTAAACATAAGCAAGAGCTTGAAGCCATTGGCTAAATTGTGAGTTGCTGTACAATTTGCTTTCTTAGTTAACATTCCAAGCTTAACAAATTAAAATTAATATGGTATTAGATAAAATCCATATCGTCAAACACTAATTACCTAAAATAGCAATTTGAGATTCAACATTAAAACAATCTATGACAAAATTATTACTACTAACATTTAGTAATAAGATTAGAGGAAAGACTAACGTTAACAGGGACGGTCTATGTTCCATGCAAACGCATAGAGTAAGACCTTTGGCAATAGTTTATCTGACCAAAAACCCGCGCAACATGAGATATAATATTGACAGATAACGATCACAACGATTAAAGCTGCACAGCTGTGTATTTCACTTGAGTGTAGCGCCTTGCACCCGAGCGTGATGGTTCGCAAAACTTACGGCAGGTTTTTGGTCATTTTGCCAGTGGAACGTTCTATCGCAACAGGGGTGCCCTAATTCCGACCTAGTGTTTAACACAGGTCGATCTGAAGAACAGGTCGGAGAGAGTTTAGAAATTATAATACACAAACTAGAAGGACCGACATTTGCTTGGGAGCAAATACAGCATATTTNCTTCCTTGGGGTATACCACTCCTCACCTCGGCCCAAGAAGAGTATTCTCCATTCAGCACTACTCTTTGTCGTCTGTGTGCCAAGAAATCCTTAACCTGACCAGAGTTTTCCTGTTACTCCATAATACTGCAACTTGTGGAGGAGGCGTTTATACGGGATGCTGTCAAAAGCTTTTTTAAAATCCAGAAACACGACATCAACTGGGTCTCCCCCTGTAGGATGTCTGTCCATTCTTCCATTACTATCAAGAGCTGTGTGGTGCAAGAGCGACCTGGTACAAATCCGTGCTGTGCATCCGTGAAGTAGTTATTTACTGTCATGTGCTGCACCAGGGTCTCTCTAGAATAATCGACTCAAATAGTTTCCCAACGATAGAAGTAAGGCTCACAGGTCTATAGTTAACAGGCTGTTCCTTGCTGTGTCACATGCGCTTGTTTCCATGGGTCTGGTAACTTGGATTCTTCGAGGGCTTTCTTAAAAATGATGGTTAAGAAGTGCCAACTCAGATGCCAATTCCTTCAGCAGTCTCGGATGTATATATAACATTACGGTTATAACCTCCTCGGATGTATAATATATAACGTTATACGGTTATAACCTCCTTGGCTGAGTAAACATGACTGTGGGGATGAGAGTTAGTCTGGGTGACTGTGGGAGCGAAAGTTACCCTGGCCCAAGGTCCTTGCCTGGCCTAGCCACGGCTAACGAGAGTCTCGGGCATGGACAAATTGTTACATGTAAGTTATGTGTATCTATTATATAAAGGTTATATAACGTTATATACAAATAAACTGCCTTTTTACTACACCTGGGGAATTCTAAACATATCATGCTACCAATTTTGACACCAAATATGGAGCTGAAATTACATTTTTCGCGCTTCTTAGGCAACATTATTCAGAAAGATCTACTCTACTCTACTCTACTCTAGAAGGCAAAACCGTTTTCGTACTTACCGACGCCATGTTGATGATGATGATGACGTGCGTGTGTGTGACGTCACGCAGATATTGGGTCATCAGGCGACAAACCGCATCACCTTTGCTCGCGGACTAATACCAAAAACGCTTCGCTGGCCTCCGCTGGCCGACCAACTTCATCACGCCGAAAAACACTACAATCCCAATGTTTTTTAACAATTCAAAACCTATTTGAAAATCTATAACGATTGCCGAGTAATGGAGAGCCAAACCAAACCTGGCGTGACAACCACGCAGATCCGGCGATTTACTGCGCACTATTTCAGCCTTTAAACTCCGACCCGGAAATCATGCGGGTATTTCCTGTCACAGACGCCACAGCTGGTTTATAACGTTACGTGGATGGAGGCGATTCTGTCTGGATTATTTAGGTTTTCACTGCTTCATCGCTCGTCACGCATCATCCAAGGCAATCACAGGTAGTGCAACTACCCAAAATATATCCGTACATTACGTTTTTTTTTTTCGACGGCCCCCTCTAATGCACATGTGTAGGAACTCAGAGAAAGGAGTAACTGGAAGGTTGACTCTGACCCTCTGACCCCTTACTCTCCAAGCAGAGGTTGTGGGGAATGATCGTTACCTTTAAGTTTTTATATATGGCCGTTTTTTTTCCTGATCCCCACCCCGTCGGTGGCTAATGGAGCTTCTCTGGCTGGATACTGCCTGGCCAATTTGATACTGTTTTTTTGCCACCGAGAGGGATCTGCTTGGAGATTATCTGACCCCCGGGAATGGAACCCGCGCCGCTCGCGTGGCGTGTCAGCTCACAACCAGCACCTGCGCCCCAAACCATTCAAAAGGTCATTCGGGTAGTTAGTGACGCCTATATACTCGCTGCTACATGTACACATGTAACTTTATATAATGATCATATTACCTTCTGCCTGTCCTTCTTCCCTCAGCAACAACTTAGAGGGCAAAGAGTTCCGAGATCTCATACCTCCATGGAATATGGGCTTCAATCAATCAATCAATCAAATGGTTTATTTGTAAACATAAGCAAGAGCTTGAAGCCATTAGCTAAATTTTGAGTTGCTGTACAATTTGCTTTCTTAGTTAACATTCCAAGCTTAACAAATTAAAATTAATATGGTATTAGATAAAATCCATATCGTTACACACTAATTACTAAAAATAGCAATTTGAGATTCAACATTAAAACAATCTATGACAAAATTATTACTACTAACATTTAGTAATAAGATTAGAGGAAAGACTGACGTTAACGGGGACGGTCTATGTTCCATGCAAACGCATAGACCTTTGGCAATAGTTTATCTGACCAAAAACCCGCGCAACATGAGATATAATATTAAAGGGTTAATGCACCGCCCCGAGGTGTATATGGTGTCATAAATGCATGGTCAGCTGCTATAACCACCGAATAAACCACCGAGTGAGCGAAGCGAACGAGGTGGTTTATGAGGTGGTTATAGCAGCTGACCATGCATTTATGACACCATATACACCGAGGAAAAGGCGGTGCATTAACGTTATTATCATATAGCCTATCCAAACTGACACAATGAATCAACACAATTCCTGTTCAAAACATTAAACCTTTAATATTTACATAACAATACATTCCAAAATATTATAATCATGGTTTGTACTTTAAAATAAATATGGAGATCATTTTACAATAAATATAGTTTACAACTTTACACGCGTCCCGCGGAAAAAAATATTGATAACAAAGATGGGGGAGGGCAAAAATCAACACGTTCGTACGGTACCGACTTGTAGCACAAAACTCACCCTACAGGAGCTCTGTCGTCTGCACAGGAAGAACGGGAACCCTACACTGACTTGTTGGTGGGTAACGGGAACTATACGAAAGCACAGACAGGAAATACTCGAGATAAGGGGAGCGGGATGGCGGACGGCATGAATCACAGCCGCTCACAGACGCGCTCTGCCTGGCGTCCAACTCAGCTGGCGTCTGCCAATTCCAATTGATAACAAGATGGGGAGGCAAAATCAACACGTTCGTACGGTACCGACTTGTAGCACAAGTTGTTGTTCGTTCAGACACGCGAAACGCACCCTGCTGACCTCTGTCTCCGGTGTAGCTTCCAGCGTCTGTTCCTCGACCTCCATGGGTCCAAATATCTCATCTAAATCCGCGTCTGTTATCTCTTCCATGTAGAAATTAGGCAAACTCTCCATGACACAAGAAGGCAAGATGGCGGACCAAAAAACATTCAGTCAGGTGATGTGGGCGATACCACTTTTTGTAGGGGTGTCAAAATAAGTATGGTTTTGCTCTCCCGTTCAAATTCTATCTATTTACATATACATTTCATACTCACACACATTTTAGTTTATATGAAGCTTAAAAAAACATAATTTTGTCTGACCAGGAAACTGCTATGAATATTAACAGAAAGAGCTGTGTACCCCTATATCATTATGGTTTCACCCATGGTTTATGGAGAATAACGCACGGCTGAGCCATGGTTTATCGGAGAATAAAGCACGGGTAACGGAGGCCTCTGATTGGTCTACGCCACCCGGCTATATGATAATGACAGATAACGATCACAACGATTAAAGCTGCACAGCTGTGTATTTCACTTGAGTGTAGCGCCTTGCACCCGAGCGTGATGGTTCGCAAAACTTACGGCAGGTTTTTGGTCATTTTGCCAGTGGAACGTTCTATCGCAACAGGGGTGCCCTAATTCCGACCTAGTGTTTAACACAGGTCGATCTGAAGAACAGGTCGGAGAGAGTTTAGAAATTATAATACACAAACTAGAAAGGCCGACATTTGCTTGGGAGCAAATACAGCATATTTCAGTCCATCTCCCTCCCACGCAAAAGTGGACTATTCCAAACTTACCCCAGTGCAAAACTGGCAAAGGTTCTCAAATAAATGAATTAAATAGTAGCTATATGAGAACAAAGATGCAACAACAAGTACTTTGAATCTCTAAAGCTTTACTAATCTTATTACAGGTATGCAAAAACTAACAATGATGAGATTTGATACATTTTGAAGGTCTTGACTCTTAGGCACATAAAATTGAATGTGTGGGTCATTACGCACCACTTAGGTGCAATGTGACCTCAGGTAACCCGCAATGGAACACGTGTTCCATGGATGGAACCGGCCATTCTTTAGATAGAACATGGAACGGGTATAGCACTTTTGGCCCTTTTTTTGCTGAAAATAGCCATTAAAGCCCCCCAAATGAGTCATTTGGACGTGGTGTATGCCAAATACATGACTGCTATTCTGTAGATACACGTTCAAGGTACCCTTATACCGAATGTCATATCATTTGGTTGTAATACCAGGGCTCAGGATCAAAAAATCCATTTTTTGTCGACCTCCATGTCAAATTTCAGGTCATTTGGCAGAAAAATGTCAGAGTTGAATCCATTTAAAGAAATAGCAGGAGAAGGAGAAGAAGAAACATGAGGGAAAACAATATGTTTCACCACCACACCATAAAAACAATAATGTTATGGTGGTGAAGCCATAAGTTAAGAACAATGTGGTGGCGGAGTTGAATCCCTCTGAACGAGTGGCAGGAGGAGGAGAAGGAGGAGAAGGAGAAACATGAGGGAACACAATATATTTCATCCATACCATGGTATGATGGTATGGACTGAAATATAATTATGACTAAAACAATCTACAACTGTTTTCTGTTCCAAACAAGTCTTCTTTTTACGATTACGCGACTTGCTCCAAAGTGGCTGTTTGAAAAGCAAAACCTGCATTTTTTACACGCTCGTCAACCCCCGAACAAGCGACGAATTCACACAAATTTTTCACTTGTCTGTTGTCGGAGTGTACGAACTAAAACAAACTTTGTGAGATTACCGATATCAACACAAAAACATTGTCCATTCTTGTGGTTATTTTTAAGCACGTGCTCCCATGCATAACGCCGCAACAAGGATTTTTCAAACGACCGGTAGTTCGGTATTAGGGATGGGTCGGAATTAGGGCACCCCCGTTAGACATCCTAGTTAACTGTCATAAGTAACATAATTATGAAAAATTGTATGGGCAAATTACAAACCATCATTCAAATAAATATTACATGTACATTTCGGCCGCACTCAAACAACTCAAACAACTTGTGTGATATCAATGTCACTTGTAGTATCGAAAGATACCAGGGTATCACAATGTAGGCCATTGTGCTAAAGAATTACGATAAACATTATTTGAAAGAATTGTTCAATAGGCGAACTAGGTATGGTACTGGAGAGTTCTTATATCTGTTGGTCCTGTATTTAGTAGTTTTAGCTTTTCAGAGTTCCTTGTGTGTCTTCCTGAGAGTTCACCCACCTTAGGAGGTAGGAGATCAGGGTTCAGTTTTGTAGCAAATTTGAGACATAGGTCTTCTCTTCTATCCTTCAATGACTTGAGTCCTGTTAACTGCAGGGCTGAGTCATAGGAACTGTATTGTCCTTTAAGGATTGTGCATACACAGAGCTCTCTTCTGAACATGCTCCAATCTTGTAATCTGCTTGCACGTGAGTCTAGGATTCCATACGGGAACACAGAGTTCAACCACAGGTCTGACAAATGACGTATATAGACCAGCAGTAGGTCCTGAACAGATACATGGAAGTTTCCCAATCGCCTTAACAGAAAGAGTTTGTTTTTGTTTGTTTGCTTTTGAAAGCATCCCTGATACATTAGCTTCCCATTTATCAGCCTGTAGTAATACCCCCAACAGGCGTGCGACAGCCACAATCTCCAGTTCTTTCCCATTGATGGTTAGGACCATTGGTGGGGGTGGGCGAGTCATAAAGCAGAAGGTCATGACTTTGCATTTATCAGCGTTGAGAAGCATGTGGTTTTGTTATGACCATTGGATGAATTTCGTCAGCTCCTCTTGCATGACGGACGGTTGCTGGTAATGTCTGGATTCAGCCATTGATAAATCATCTACAAAACTTCCATTCTAAAACACTGGTGGGTATTTCTCTAACCGCGTCATCGAAGACCACGAGGAAGATAACGGGCCCAAGTAAGGTACCTTGGGGGACCGAACATGTCAATGTCTCCCACTCGGAGAGCTCACCATTGCAGCGAACACGTTGGCAACGAGCCGACATAAAGGCTTGCTTTGTCATACTTCATTTCAACATGTCCTCATTAATTATGCAAATGACATTTACATTAACATAATATATGTATATATACATGTGTACTGTGGTGTTAACCTTTAAGTAACTTACACATGTCACGAGGTATAAGATTCCCATCATTCACCAATGAGTCAGAATTTTCACATTAATTATGCACATTAGGTCATAATTAGCATAATTGGTATCTGTTAATGTTCCTCCTGCCACAGATTAAGGTTCCGGGTCGGAGTTTAAATCTGACCAGAGTCTAAGTAAGTGCGCAGTAAATCGCCGGAAACATGACTTTGTATGGTATGTTTTGGCCGCGATATCCCTGAAATCGTAATACTAGTATCTGTGTACATATCTTTGTATTTTCTGAAAAGCCTGTTAGTTGTAGCCTTTATAGGTGGCGTAATGTTGGTGGTCCAGCGAAGACTTCCTGGTATTAGTCCGCGCGGATGGTTATGTGGCCTTTTCGCCTGACCGGCGGGATGGTACGTTCTATATGCGTTCTGGGTGTGTTCGGGCCATCGAAGATAGCGATCAACTTATCGCATCGATTTTAATTTAAATTCAAATTTTGGAAACATTAGGTTCTGAGCTTCTTCGAGTACTAAGCCGTTACCCTGGGAAAATTCGTTTTTTCCATGCAGCCATGGTTAAAAATGACGAAAAAAATTACCCCTTATTTAAAAATG